ANATCTTCTTCTCTCTCTCTCTCTCTCTCTCTCTCTCTCTCTCTCTCTCTCTCCTCGAGGAAAATGTGAATTTGTATGCATTAAAACGAGAGAAATGGGATTAAACGTTGGTGACGAATTTAAAAGAAGTGGAATTTAAATAGCAGGTTCAATTTCTTGCATCGATTATAAACGAATTATAAACGAAATATCTCTTCTTTCAATCTCTTTCTTGACTTGCAAACATTTTGACAGATCGATTTTCTAATAAACTGATTCGTTCGACATGGAAATATCGTCTTCGTTGTGAAATCGCGATTCTCTTCCCTTCGACTTTATTTTATCGTCGATGATATTTCCTATCGGAATTGAACGTCTAATATATCTGATAACGCATTGCCACGGAAGGAAGGAAACATAAATTCGAAGAGTTAGCTGTTTCGTAAAAGGTTGATGAGGCAGGAGATGACTTAGCACGGCAAACTTTTCGCCCGATCCATGGAACCGACCGACCCCTTCCTGCGTGAAACTTATTTTCCCGATTCCCTGTGGGATCTCTCTCCGACTAATGCGTTCCACAAACTAACCCGTGACTATTTTCGGGTATTACGAAAGTTTCGAGAGCAAAGCAACCCGTCAAATCTAAAGGAAGTAACGCGCCAATCTATGATGTTGCATAGCGTTAGAAATTTGGGAGGGAGGGGCGAGAAGAGTGATGATCAAAACACGATAAATATATTACAGGAAGATATTGGTTGCGTATTTTTCTCTATAAGTCTTGTCGAGTCGGAATAATAATTACGAGAAATATGTTTAATTTTTCTAAAATTATAATCACGAACACATAGATCTTTCGCCGGAAAGATTCGGAATGGAATTCTCGATTACGAAGTGAGGAAGTGATTTATCACGCAAGTCATTTTTATTCGATCTCCGATCGAAATTTTGCAAAACGAAAGTCACCTTGAACGAGCTCGTTAAATTGCGTAGAAATAGCGCAACCTTACCCACATTTTGTTACAACATAATATAAATAAAAGTATTCTATTCTAGCGACGGATCGGTCTGCCAATATGGTGACGGCTCGCAATCTGTGTGTGATAATTAAGAATGCCGTGTCAAAATTTTCGAACGATTAATCGAGATAAATTCGACGTTGGCTGACAATTATCATCAGGCCTAATTCGTTTCGGGTGCTCGCTCGCCCGGTTTTGGACCGTGTCCACCGCGTCGATTCGACTCGAAATCGCCTCGAATCGTTCCAACCTTCGATGAATCATCGATTACTATTGCTCGGGTAACTGGGAAACGATGATGCTCACCATCGATTCTTACTCATCGAGCAAGAAAATCAGCCTTTTAAATTTAACGTTTCAGAAACGAGGATCGAAAATTCGAAAAAAAGAGGATTATATATAAAGAAGAATCTGGCTACTATTCAAGATTTCTCGATGTAAACAAGTGTTTCTCTGTTGTCAGCGTGATTCAAGTAAACCGAGAGATTTGTGAACATTTTCTGCTCGTAAAGAGCGTGACTCATCCGAGATTCAATGAAAATGAAAATTCTTTTTTTTCTTTTTGAATCGATGCCCAGTTAAAATTTATCTCGATAAAAAATTACATATAAATTCGTTCGACCCAACAAAAGTTCCAGCTTGGAAAACAAAGCGTTATGGCTCCTCTATAACCGAGAATATCGTCTCGCTTACGTACATCTTCGAAAGATCTTCCAACTCGTAGGATAGGATCTCGTATCCGGGACTCGAAAGAAAGTTAAATCATAGCGCGTGGTCTAAATCAGTAGCTGAGAAAGCTGTCTCTGGAAAATCAACGGCGATGACTAACGGCAAGCCAGACACGCGTCACGGAAGAACATTGACTCAGAGCGTCGGGACGCATACGCGGCGAGCCATTCGGAAATTCCACGAATATTCCTCACCGCCACCTCGTAAATGCCGTGAAGCACGCCAAACGTTTTCCCGCCCCTCGTCCTCACCCCTCTAGTCACTCGTGCATCCTCACGTGATCGCGGGCCTTCCCTCTCCATCCGATCGGTCGGGTTTAGAATAACCCAAAGCTCCGCGAGCTTCGCTCCATTCGCGAGTTCGATCTCGAGTCGTTCGTTCGTTCGAGGAAGAGAAGGACAGCCGAGGATTTCAAGAGTTTTCGCTTCGACGATGGAGATCGCGAAAGGTGCGTGGCGCTAACACGATTCGATCGAATCCCAATTCTAACTCGATTCCCTCGATAAATCCTCTCGAAGCTCGTTCGATTTTGATCCAAAGGAGATCGCGTCCCTTTCGAGGAAATATCGCGTTCCTCTATTTCTGTTCATGGAATTTTGCTTTATCGGAATTTTTCTTTTAATTATTAATCACGGGAACGCGAAGAATTTCATTGGAATTTTCTTTACTTTGGATTATACTCGCTTTAATTTAGCTTCGCGATATCGATGATTGTCACACTTTGATTCCCGCGAGGAGGATCGTGATTCGAGAAAGCTTTTTTATTCTTTAAATTTTCAACGCATAACTCGTGTGCTTTCGAACGAAAATACAAGGAAAAATTCTCTTAGTTAGATCTGGAATCTGTCTCCCGTTCAAATTTCTCATCCTCTGCAAGCTTCTTATAGCTTTGCTAAATTAACACGAAACATTGCTTGCATCCGTCCACAGTGAACGAGAACGCGGGCAGTCTCGTGGAGCAATCGATGAACATCACGGCGGAATCAAAATCGGTGGCGACGATGAAATCCGTGGAGAGCGTGCAGACGAAATCCGTAGTCGAGTCGTCGACGTCGATCAAATCCGTGACTTCGTCCTCGACCAGGTCGCATCAGTCGATGGAGTACGAGGAGACGATCGAGTACAGCGACTAACTCGATCCACCACGAAATCCACGCCGAATCCAAGTCCACGAAATGCGACAACGTACCCCTCCTTTCTTTTTTTTTCTTTTGGCATCGCACAGAGGAAAGTCGAGACGCCATAGATCTCTCCTAGAGTCGAGTGGAGCGCGCCTTGGCGAAGATCCGCCGCCCGAGTTTCGAGGATTCGAGACTGGAATAGCCGAGTGTGGAAATGCGTGGTTTGCTTCCTGTCAGGATTCAAAGGGAAATGCGGTGGAAACTCTGCTCGCGTGTTCCGCATGTTGATTCGCATGGAGTGGGAAGGAACAAGTTGCGCCACGAGGAGATTCGTGAAGATTCGAAGAATGTTTTTGGAGAAGAAAGAAGAGGAGAGGAAGAAAGAAGATATCGAATCGAGTCGTGGAATTGACCGATCGACGGGTCAAAGTGTGGATGGGGAGATTTCAGAAATAACCGCTCCCTTCTTGAGTTGCTACGAGCGATAATGAAAAAAAAAGAAAAAAGAAGAAGAAAAGGAGGAAAAGGAAGGAACGCGAGCTCTGGCTCTCCTCCAATCGGCGTGGTTCATCGCCAAATAACGACTCGCCCCATCCTTTTCTCCCTTCCTCGAGGATCCTCCATAAAGGTCCATCCCCCTTTTAAACGCCTGTTTAAGCCTCTCCATCATTGTCACGTCTCGCGATCCCACACTTCATTGTGAACTTTCGGTTATCTTTGTACAATAAAGTTTCTAAGATATTGTTCTCTGGCTTCGTTCAATCCCTCTTATTCTTCCTTTATATTGTCGCGTCGCAGAATAGCAACGTGATTGCGGCTCGTTATAACGAATGATTTAAAAAGCGAAAGACAAAAGGAGGAAATATCGTTGAAAATTCGTTTAACGATTCCATTCTTTTTCTCAAAGTTCCTTTCTTCTTTTTTTTTTTGTTTTTCTTCTCTTCACTTCCTTCGAGTTTAAACTTGACGATCGATCGTTGCGGATCGATAAACCTTTACCTTGGTCGGAAAAAAATGTCATCGTTCGTCGAAGTCATGGGACATGGAAAGTCAGGGAAGAGCCGATAATTCAAGCTGCGGTGGATTCGATGTCGGTTGGATTCGAGATCCAATTAAACGACGCGAAACGAAAACCGTGAAAGGGAACAAACGATTTTCCTTTGCTCCATCCACGATCGTTTACGGCCCCTTCATCGCGAGAAACGTGATCGAATCAAAAATAGAACGTTTTACGTTTCACGAAGAAAGAAAGGAAAACTCTCGTCCAACTCTTTCAACCGATAGAAGATACTTTCGTTGGAACACGTATGTACACGTCGCTGAGAGATGAGGAGGAAGATTTTTCACGTGAAGAAATAAAGTTGTTGTTGATCCAGTCTCGCGGGCAAAGGAGTAGGTTGCCGCTCACTTGGAGCGAATAAATCGTGTGGAAGATCGAGAGGAACAGAGGGGTTTATTAAGCGAGAAGAAAAAGGGAGAGGAGAGATATGGAGATTTATAAATGATGATTTTTTTTCAGAAGCAGAGAAAGGGAGGAGTGGAGGAAAATCTGGAAGAGAGAAAAATGAACTTGTTGAATGAGAGAGAAACCTACGCTACGAAACGTTGACTGGCATTGATTCACGATCGGGGGATTAAAGTGAATAACGTTATTGTGTAGCGAAATTAATTTTTTCTTATCGGGTCGATCCGGAATGGAATCTTTCGAAAGCAATTTGATAAAATGTACGAGTATAAAGCGCCAAGTTAACCGTAGGCGTAATTCACTGAATCCATTCCGCGTGCCGAAATTAAGTGCTATTCCCCGGGGACACGTGGGGATCGCGCGAGTGAAAGTTTTACAAGTTGCCAAGTTTCGAGGGGTTCCTCCTCCTTCTTCGGATTTTACGACAGTTTTGAACGAGGTTGAAGGCTGGTGGAATGCTCGCACCGTGGAAAAAAAGGTACGATATCGACGCGACGATATCGCCATTCCAAATTTTAAGATAATGAATTTTCACGGGGCGTGAAATTAGTGAAAAAAGCTATCGAATGAAAATAGAAAGTTGGCAATTGATAGTTGGCAATCGAAAGATAGAAATTTAGAGATCTTAAAATTAGTTTTATTCCAATGAGTTGTAAGTAAACGTAGCGGACAAAAATTTGGAAAACTTGTCTAGTCTGCGTGGCTTACGTCAAAGTTTCTATCCGAATGTAAAATGTAAAATTTTACGTTCGATTCCTTTTTCAATTTTTCGCTTTTATACGTTAATGACTCGAAACTTTTAATCTCGGTCGGTAATGTAAAATCAGAAATTTTCATCCGCGTTTTCATTCGGAAAAAAAAATATTAACCTACGTGTACAAATTTCCACCGACATCAAACGAGCTTCCGTAAAAAGTAATTTTTTCGTATATTTTTTTTTTTTTTTTAAGAAGATAAATCAGGTGAACGAATCATATCATATACACGAAACGTGAACGTGTAGGTTATTTCTTCCAACCAACGTAATCTTTATTCATATGATGGCTTATAATTTTTCGCCGGATATCTATCAACTGAACTTTGTTCCACATCATCTTTTTGTTCTACATCCTTCTTTATATAAACTTTCTCCTTTGTTTTCCCACCTCCTACGTGAATAAAGTTGGACTTTCATTTTTCGAACAATATCGGAAAATAAATGTTCTAAATTTATACATATCTCTCTAGCTACGTCACATTCTTCCTTGAAATTTATCTCTTTATCTACAGGAACGACTTGCTTTTCCCTCATCTCGCAAAAAATACCATAATAAACCGTTAAATTATTCATACGAACGTATAAACACAATTTTACCCGCTAGTTTGGATAATCAAAATATCTGTATTTGAAAAATGGAAGAGGAAAGAAAAAAGGAGGGAGAAGAAAAATAGACGTTCAAAAGCACGATCGATTCAGTTTTTATCGCGAGGCAAACCCGACAATCTTATCGTGGCTGGTCATCGAGAAACGCGATTCCGAAATAAACAACAAACCCCTTCCTTCGTTCGTGGCCGAATTAAATTTTCACCGCGCCAGCCCTGATTGTCATAAATTTTTATCCCGAGAATCGGTTTCACCGAGGGGGCGAAAACACCATTCCCATGGGCACGAGCGATACTTCTCTGTCAGGGAAGGGAAGACTTATGGACTCTCGTAACGGAAACTCGAAGGGAATCGAGCGAACGAGAGAAAACGTGTCGCGTCGTGTCGCGTCACCGTTTCGCCGGAAACGTCGTTCTAATCCTTTGTGTTCCATCGTCGATGGAAAAGTGAATTTTTCGAAGAAAATTGAAATGAAAAAAAAACATCGATCGATCCTATCTCTTCAAGTGAAACTGCTCGTTCTGTCGAACGTGAAGATATATATGTATATAACGGAACAAATTATTCGTGACACTTTTCACTTTATCGAGGACACTGGTATGGAATTAGAAAAATAAATTGAAATATGTCGAGAAAGAATTGTATTGTTATATTAATTTTCGTTAAATCCTTTAATTCATTTGCTACGAAGGTACGAAGGAATTTTGGTGAGGATATAAAATTGAGGCAGGCACGAATGAAGGTATTGAAGCAACAATGTATGCAACGAAAGGTTTAGTTGTTTTTATTTTTTACGAAAAAGAAAAATAGATATTAAAAGATATTATTGTTGTAATTGATTTTTATGCGGGTAACGCATCAATCTCTCGTCGATATTTAAAAATTGGTGTCATAGGATATCGATATTTTTAATTCAGACGATATGGATTAATTCGGAGGGTGAGAACAACAAAGGGTGAGAATGAAATACGATGTCGTGCGATTAACTGTGTAAAAAAAGGATTGAAAATTGAAATTAAATGTCGGGCCGATAAGTCATCCCCTAAACATAGGGGATGGTGATCGATGAAACGTGCATTTCGCTTGTCATTGTTCTAGATCGAAGGATAGGAAGCATAATCGCGCTGGCGGTGTTCGAGGAACGCGTTCGATTATCGGTTTCCCAAATTCCCAAATTGTGAATCGCGCCATCGCGCGAGCGTTTCATCATTATATAAGCCGATAATTTCTTCGCACCGATTCGAATTATTATCGTTCGAAATTTTTTTTTTTCTTCATTTACCAAAAATCTTCTGCTTCAAGGATTTAAAATTTTTAATCTTATCCTCGTTCTTATTTATAAATACGTCCATTTTTTTACAAGGATCAATTACCTGCTACTGTTGACCGAAGTATTGCTCCTGCTGCGCCTCGAGATAATCGAATCTCCACGATTAACGACGCCTTTATGGGTGATACTGAATGCCCGCAGTCTGTACAGATCCTCCCCTGCTCTCGGATTGTACGCTTTCTCTGGCAGGCTGTGTACTCGTGGCCTGATGTGATCCGGCACTGAAACGTATCGATGGACGACGGTTAATTAAAACCAACCTATTAGTTCAAACAGGGCAACGTAAACAGATATAAACGCGCGGATGTTTCATTAATTGGACAGATATCTTCGTCTATCTATATTCTACCGTTCTAACTTTTATCTCTCGATCAACTCTCGGTCGAGATAACGATTCTCTCTCGCGATTCACGTAGGATAAGTATATCGTGCACGAATATTCGATCAGTCAATCCAAGATTGACTTTCGAACGAAAGATACAAGGATTTGCGCATCTTGAATTTTTAATTATTTGCCTGAAAACCGATCGTTTTCGATCGCAAAACGAAACCTTCGATTCGCGTTAAACTATCCATCATCGATTCTCCTTTTTTTATTTCCCCCCTCCCTTCTCCCCTTCTCTTCCTCTCTTCCTTTTCTCTCTTTAGGTTTGGAAATTTTCCAATTGCGAAACGATCCTCGTGATCAAAGCGACGCGACACGTGGAACACCAGCCATGCCTCCGCCTTCGAGGGCTTCCCAATTTCCTGTCCCAACAGCTAACTAGCCGTTCCAACGTCTTTTATGTCCGCCTGTCAATTTCCATACGTGCTTCTTTCTTTTTTTTTTTTTTTTTTTTTTTACGTTTAACACTCGAAACACAAAGCAACAGCGCGTACAGCAACGTGTGCACAGAGGGGGGAAAAAATGATACTCCATTTTTCATCTCAATCTCGAATTTCGCGTAAAAATTCGCGATTTATCTCTCTGCGTAAATTTGACGAAATTTTGTTTGGTTTCAACAAATGAAACAACCGAACGTTCCCTTCAAATTCAAAAACTAACATTTACGGTGTACAATTTTATTAAACTTTGCGAGAGATTTTTCCTATCCGCGTATCATCTTCAGGGCCAATAATATTATTGTAAACGCGGGCACAATATTTTGTCGGGCGAACCGGCCATCTATCTCTCTTCGCAATCTATTTCACGTTTCATGTATATTTGAATATCAATCTATAGAAATACGAAACGATGAAATACGAATATAGGGAGTCGGCGTTTTAGGGACACTCGTGATCCTGCATTCAAAGGGTGTCTTCCGGGGTTTTCGCCTTGATCACAGCCTGACTCGTACATAAATATATTAGATCTCTGTAGATCTGTCGGATAAGGAATAAATCACGACGTACGTATAGTTTTACAATAATTGTTTCCACGCTTCGCTTTAAAGAAATTGTATTTAATTTCAATTTCAACGTTTTCAATTCTCAAAACTTTATCTTTTTTTCACAGAATTCAAACAGTATAGAACGGTTCCCAAAATTGAATCGTCCCCTTCCGTATTGACAGAAATATTCAGAAATCGAATTCGTGGAAGTCGCTCAAAACGAAGACGGAAAAATGCAAAGATGCACGATCCAAGATTTCTCTATCCAATATTCTCCAATATCTCCAATTTTCTTGCGTTCGACGAGCGACACTGTTCGTTAACTCGACACAGTTTGACACAGAAGTTTGAGATCGAAATGGTGCAAGGGTCCGTGATGCATCGACAAAGGTTGCCTCCATCATTTAATGCGGTTACAACTCGACGAGGCACTCGAGAAGTTCGCCTCTCGGACCGAGTAGCTAATTACGAGGCCGGGTGTAACTTCGCCTCGACGAAATTAACGGCGAATTTTCGTCGATTCCGTGGGAAATTTCAATGCCAGAGAACGGACTTGGATGGAAACACCCTTCGATTAATTAGGCGCGAGTTTTAACCATTTTCCTTTCGCTCGAAACACTCGAGAAAGGAATAAAACTTGGATAAATCGTCGTGACGTGGAAATCGAGATATAGAAGTGAGAGAAAGATGGGAGGAAGATGGGTAGATCATAGTTCGCGCACAATTTAATTATCCGCGTTTTAAGAAAAGAAACACTGGGTGGTCGGTCGCTCTCGAAGAAACAGCAATGGTGAATAATTAAATGGAGATACGAGAATGATAAAAGAAGGGATTTTGAGACGTTGCAGCGTGTCTGACCTCACCCGTCTTACTCTACTTCCTTTGCTCTTCCAACCAGATACAAGGTGTATGCGTGTTGGAGTCTAAGTTGACTTTGAATATTGCACGAAAAGGGATCACTGAATCGAATACTAATTCCTCGAAAGAGTTCATCCATTGCTGTTTATACTGTGAATCTTCAGTGATGATCTTCACTTCCATTTAATTGATTGAAATTCTCGATTGACGATCGGTCAGATTCCCCAGAGGACTGGTTACATTCTAATTGATAATTCTGCGGCTTCTGATCGTGATCCCATTCAATTCTAACTTTCTGGAAACTGTCTGTGAATCTTAATTTTCCTTCCAACGATTATTCTCGACGAAAATGTAATAAGAAGAGGGATTTAGAGAGAACGAATGGAGGGTGATTTTCAAGAATGGGGGCCATGATCCTTGCAACTGTTTCTTCGGTGGTCGATCGCAAGCCACTTGACGCGCGCAAATGCGATTTATGAAGTGGTTTCCATTACCATTGTGTCTCAATAGTTTCTGGAATACTTGCTATTAAGAGTTTGGAACGATGTGAAACTTGTGCGAAATTGAATTACCGCTAAGAAATTGGAAAGCTAAACTATCGAGAATGTTGAACTTGTTGAAAAAGTGAAATTCGAACTATCTGACTTTATATATCAATGTCTTCTATTCTTAACAATATACGTGTGTTTGTAGAATACGTTTGAAAGACCAGATTCTTCAGATTCCAAAGCAAACACAAGAGTCAGTTAAATTATAAACAATTGAAAATTTATTCTCCCTGCACTCTGATATTTTTGTACACCAACTTTTGTGTCCGTTTAGGCGAATATGTAAATTGCAATAATTTTTTTTATATCTGAGAAGTGATGAAATAAGAATGTTGCGATGCTCTTGAAATATTTACCAAGCGAGTGAAAATACGGTGATTATTTTTTTTTTTTTTTTGCCAACGATATCGCACGTGCCGCGAGAAAGAAAGGAAAAAAAATGATAAAAATATTCGAGAAAAACCTATCAAAAGAACGACTCGTGCAAACGTTCGTATCTGACTGTTGCATCCTGTGTGCACTTTCTCGGTCATTCTTCCTTTTTCAAACGTTTTGTTCCCGATCTAAGGATTCCTCCCTTTCACGAATATTATCTCCTATATTTTCTCGTATTCACCGCGTTAAATAATACAACTTTTCCTTCAGAGAGGAAAGCTCGCCTGTTATATATCTCTAAAGATTGTCCTTATTATATACTACGCTATAATCCTATTGTAGGAGGCGAGAAAAAATGAGAGAACCTAGTGGAATTTGAAAGCCCGCTCCCTCGCTACATTATTGCTCCTTTATGGCGAACCCAATCTCGCGCTATTATTTGAAAGAGAGAGAGAAAGAGACAACGACATACACGTTTTTAAAGTCTTGAGAATAGTTGTTGTATATGATCGTTTGTTTCAAAAAATTGGAAAAAAAAAAAAAAATAATCTATCATCATCGACAACAGAAGATCCATTCGAAACAGAATGGATGCACGTTATCACTATTAACGTTAACAATAAACCGATAATTTCCGCGTGGCATCGATTTTCCATACATACGTTTATTAATGAGAATCCAGTTGTTCGAAAAAAAATTCGTTATCGCATCGATCCGTCCGTTTTTCCACCCTTTTTTTCCCCCCTCCACGCGAATCAATCCGACAACGCTTGCTAATATCTCTGCTTTTAATGCCACGCTCCCCGCGGATCGTCGAAAAGCCTATCGCGATAACTTGTTTACGGAAAGTATTTGCCCGGCGAATTGCCGAGCCACGTAATTAATTTCGAAGCCGGCTTCCTCGATACTCTCGAGGGTAATCCGCCACTTCGATACGATGTGCGTCGTCGGGAAATTTCAGGATGAGCATCGGCAGACGCGTTGCGAAACATTGCGACAGAAATTATTCTTCGCGTTATTTCCTCGATCATTCCCTTCGAGACTCGTGTCGGAAACGATTTACTCTTCGATCGTTCGCGGTTGATCGACGTTTCGAGTGTAAAATGGACGTCGAGCACGCGATCGTAAAGTGGAAACAAATCTACGGGGATGGATACTTTTTTCCCATTTCCCTTTCGTTTCGACGGAACGAAATCGGTGCTTAAATATCTAGATAAGAAGAGAAACGTGCCGCGTTTTTCTCAGAGAAGTGATCGAGGAAGTCACTTCTCTTCCGTGAAGATAGGGAAGGAGGATCGAGTCGAGTGCACGCATTTATTCGGTTTCGCGGAGGAGAGACCTCGTTTCGAATTGTTTGCATTGAAAGTTTAAACGAGGGCAGGCCGGTAACCGCGTCGCTTCCTACGCGATTCAATGTAAACAGCAAGGCGCGATTAAAAAATACGCGTCGTAACAATACCCGTGTCGATAACTTGACCCTGTTTCTGCTGAATCGTTCAATCGTCACGCGGCTGTGTGAAATGGAAAATTTACCAAAGAAGAATCGAAACTCTTGCATCGTAACCTTCCACGTAAAATTTTAATATGCGATTGAAAAAAATAAGATGAAAAGATACCGGTAACAATATACCAATCTTGATAACTCGACCCTGTTTCTGCTGAGGCAGTGAGAACGTTAAAAAAAAAAAAAAAGAAGAAAGAAAAGAAAACGATCGCTTACCGGGCAATTCCAAGAAGTTAGAGGTTCTCCGTTGCCTGGCACGGGGGTGCGCTGTGAAATTCAACGGGCCCACGCTCTCGTTGCTGATGTTCGACAAATTGGAGCACTGGCTATCGCGGGAGCCACGCCTGGACGCGAGATAGGCTGCAACACAGAGAGAGAAAGAAGAGAGAGAGAGAGAGAGAGAGAGAGAAGGAGAATTGATGAAATGGTGAAATTTCGGGGCAAGCTTCGAAAGGATTTGGGACCCAGGGGACAGGTTGCGTTGCTGTGGAACGAGCATTGCCGAGAAATGCCGATTCACGGCGATTTCGTTTCCAATCGGCTCGATTCGATCGATATATTCCCGCCAGGATTAAAGATCGAACAAGATTACGGGATTAGCCGGTCGAAATACACGAGCCTGCCTTTCGTTCCCGATGAAAAAGAGGAGAGGGAGAGTGAAAGGGACGATGAGGGAGAGGGGAAAGAATGGAAGGCAGAGTGGAGAAAGATGGGCGAGGCTCGCTTTTTCATCCCAAAAAACCTTTAAACGAGAATTCAATTGGGAAAGTGAGACGATCTTGGAAAAATGATTACCTCGAGCCGATTTTTAACCTTCTCTCGGCCTCCCTCCGCGCGTGATCCGCTCGTGAGGCAATAATAAATTATGAAAAATTGTGCGGGGCGAGATTGTTCGGATGGGTGGAATAATAATTTCGAGGGAATATCGAGAATATCGCCGGGTGCAAAGACGACGGTTTAACTTGGCGGTTATTATAATTATGATCTGTCCTCCCCACGCTCGAATTGCAATTTATGAGGAACAAAACTCTCTGATTTAGGAAACAATGGAATATTCGAAGCGGCAAGCTAAGCAAGCAAATTCGCAAGTTCTCGCCTGGAGGGGAGGACGAAATAGTTTCGTGACGAAAATGTGCGTCACGTTTCCAAGATTTGACGAACAATCTCTTCTCTCTCTTTCTCGTTTTTTTTTCTCCCTTCTTTTTTCTTTATCGCGTCGCGTAACCCCTTTTCCTACGCTTTATTACGGAACAACAATTCGAGAGTTCGATTGCGTGGGAAAATTCGAAAAAAGCACGCGGCAACTCGAGGGAAATCTGTTCGAGACCGATAGAGGATTAATTAAAACCGATAATCCTGTCATTTATTAGGAGCATCGTTCTAAAAAAAAAAAAAAAAAAAAAGAAGAGAGAGAAGAGAAGAGGAGAAGGATAAGTATCGTGTAGAATCGATTGTGCAATCGGTTAATAATTTTAAGCCGATCGACGGATCCCTCGTTAATCGGCACGCGAGAGTATTGTCCCGCGCGGATGATCCGCTGTTCGAATAATTAGAGACGTTGGGGAAACGATACATCTCATTAATCGGATAATATAATTTGCGATTTCATCGGTCGTGACTCGCCCACGCGATAACGAATCGATAATTAACTCTCTCCCCTTTGCGCGGCAATAGCCCCCGTTAATTGAATCTTTTTCGCGCTCGTTACATTTTGCAAATGCTTTTAAAACGAGGGGGATTCCTTTGACGGGGGAGTCAAGGACTCCGGATCGACCTACTTTGACCCAACATATTGTTAATTACCTCGCCGCGCAACTTTTTCCAAATTAACTAATAATCCCGATTCTGTGCAACGCAACCTTTATTAACTCGTTTCGCTAGTTATCAAAGATAAATTTCCAATTATACGCATACCTGTGGATCAAGTTTTCTTTTTCCGTTACAAAAAGAAAAAAAAAAAAAAAAAAAGAAAACCGCGAAAGTTGAACGAAAATTGAAAAAAAAGGGGGGAGGAGAGGGGAAGAAAAGAAAGACGAAGAAAAAAATCCAAAGAACCACTCACCGAGGCCACCCTTCATGGATCCTCTTCTTCTAGGGCTGGACAGCAGAGTGACTTCCGTGTCGGCGTCCCCCATATCGGTCAAGTCGCTAGTCGACCTCCTCGAGATATTTCTTCCATTCTTCCCGTAAACGTCCTCTTGGCTCTCGCCCTGACTATTCTCAGCCTCGTTCAAACACCCTTGACTGCGATTAAAATGACTGCTCCTCTTCCCCCTCTTCGGACTATCGCCTCTCTCCCTCGACGATCCTCCTCCCTCCACCGAACCTGGCCTCGATCCGTTCTTGTAACTCGCGTTATTCCCCTCCCGCTGTTCCACGCTCGTTTTTTCACGCTCGTGCTTCGGGCTAGACAATCCGATCGCCGCCTGCATACCATCCCTCTTCGATCCATTTAAACCAGAGAAACAAGAGTTCTTACGATGCTCGAAAGGTTTCCCGACCACGCTCTTCCCCGGGACGAAACTCGCGGAGCTGGGCGATCTTGGCGGGATCGCGGGCGAGCCGGATGCGGGGCTTCTCGGTGGATAGCTCATCGTCTTCCCGAGATTCCTTCGGCTCTCCACGAATTGAAATATCGGCGACTTTCTGCCGGGCGAGTGGGGGTTGGGGCTCTTGGGACTCCTGCACCCTTGATGCGAGTAGTAGCTCGGGCTCCTTGGCGGCCCCCTTGCCTCGCCCTCCTTCGACCGTCCAAACTGCTCGAAGTCGAAATTCGTGTTGGGCGTCTCCGGATAATACTCGGGGGGGAACTCGAAGACGAGGGGCGTCCCGGGCGACTTGCTCACCGACAGTTGCGTGGGGCTTCTCTGGCCACCGATCGGGATTTGCGGTAATTGCGGTAGCTGGCGAGGACTACGCGGCGATTTCAGATGTATCGATTGTCCTGGACTGTTCGTTGCCATGTTCTTAGATTCCTTCTCGCTACTTATTTTTCGCTCTCTTCTCGAGCGAGCTACTTTTTTCTATTCCTCTTCTCCTTCTTTCTCTCTCCGGTTTCTTCTCGTTCGATCTCTAGCAAGAGAAGGCAGGAACAGCCTCCGCCAGCCTCGTTGTGCGCGCCGGTCGACTCTTTGTTGTGTTGTGCCGGATTGCCACGAGTTCCCTCCGAGCAACGCGCCAATCTTCCGGAGCGGATCGAATTCTCATCTCCGCGCCCAGCCTTCCCTCCCTCCCTCCCCTCCCCCTCCACGAGTCCTCTCGTGCTTTTCACGCACTGCTATTAGGGAATGACGCGATGGGAAAGGGGGAATTTATCCGTCGATGGCCAGGATTAAAGATCGCCCTTTTTGGGGAAACGCCTGAAAACGTGATGAATCGTTGTAGAAGAAATATATTGGAACTGTGTATCGCGTGTATTTCTTATTATTAAGAAAGGGAAGAATCGAAAGGGAGAAGGAAAAAATAGAGATTCGTTCGATGTAAAAGTAAAGAGCGGACAACAAAATTCCAAACTGGTGTAACAGTTATCAAACAAGACGGACACATCGCGAACATCTTTCCTCTTCGCGAAAATTATAATCCACGAGTGTAGTAACGCGATTCGTCTGGAAAATGATCGGCCCGGCGAGACGAGTGTCGTTAAAAAGAAGAGGAAAACAAATCTCTCCAAGCAATTTCAAATTTTCCTCCGTCCACAATTTTTCCATTTCTTCGTTTCTTTCGCAAGAGGAAAGCTTTGACCGTGGGAAAAATTACACGTTACTTCCACCAAAGTGTCGTGCAACAACAGTTTCGCGGAATTATAATGATAAAATATAAATAACTTCGGATGCAACGCGAATTAATTTTCGAGGCAACCAAAATCGATATTAATTGGCAACCGGTATACCGTACTTCCGACAAACTAAACCATCACGAAACCATCTCTCGAAGATACATATGAATATATATATATATATATATATAACCGAAATTATTAACCACAATTAATTAACCACGATCTTAAAAATTCTTACATATTCTTATATCACACGTGTCGGATCTACAAACAATTTTTCAAACACGCTTCCATATATATAATAATCTTATTCGTTGAATCGGCTGCTTTGCATCACATACGCAAACACACCCGACAGCAAACTCACCGATCGTTTCGATTTTCGGCCGGGAAGAATTAACCTGTTGATCGCAACGGTGCGAGCAAGTATCGTCACGCCGCTCTCTCTCTCTCTCTCTCTCTCTCCACCACCTCGCGAACCACCGTTTTTCCACCGATTCTTCCTCGATGCGAACGATCCTTATCCCAACGATTTCTGGAGAGCCCCGTGGCGACACGAGGTAAACCGAGCAGGGGCACGATTTATGGTGATATATGGAAGAGGACACGCGGAACCGAGCTCGACAGAGGTTGCCGCGTTACTGAGGGGTTGGAGCGTGCAGACCTAGGAGAGCGTCTCACCCCGCCGCCGCCATTTCACCCTGCTCGACCTCCCACCCCTACGGTCCCCGGGGCTTTTCTTTCTCTTCGCACGTGTCTCTTTATCAATTCGATCCATTTTCCATTACATCCTGCGGGATGAATCGAAGGACACGAAAATCTTTCGTATCGAATATTTATATGATAAAAAAAAAATATTAATATTTAATTAAAGTATTGTAACGAAACAAGAGAGAGAGAGAGAGATCCATTTTCCATTGCTTCCTGCGGGATTTCTGCGGGCCGCCATCTCATCCCGAGCAAAATAAAATAAATAACAGGCAGACGTAAATGTCACGCGTCGAAATCCATCCCTCTCGTCGAGTCGATTTCTTCCGCTTCCGGTTTCGGTAATTACTCGTGCTTACGAGATTGATCGCGATCGAGAAGGAAGGTGGATGATTGGAAAATTCTCGATACGATTATCTGTAACGAAGATTAACGTAGATGAATGTTTAATTATAAACAGTTTACGTTATTATCGAAGATTTTACCTATGAATTTTGTATACGATATCCACATTGAAGAATATCATTTTAATCTCCTTCGAAATTAATTTTAAACAGGACGCGAGTTGGAAAATGATGAAAGATCGTGTTAAACTTTATGAGACGTTCCTCTTTCGAATTGCTCACGAATTCGTGGCGAGATATTATTGGAGGGATGAATTTTATTCCATAATCGGATGGAGCACGGCCCTTTCCTTTGCAGGGAAATTGGATTCCCCCGTGTAAGACCGCAGCAAGCGCGGCACAACGATCCCCCTTTCGGGTAATCGATGCGTCCAACGACACGCTGCATAAACTCTGGCATACGAGATTGCGCTCGTATTCGCACCGCAACGCGCGGTGATTGCGCGCGGTTCGTGTCTCCCCTCCGCTTCCGCGGTCAAACACGTCCAACAGGTAAACGCCGAAACGGTCACGGATCGTCAGAGATCAAAGGTGAAGGGTAGGATGTCAAAGCGAGGAATTATTAACTGCCTTCTCTGCGATCTTCCTCACTTTTGGAAAATTATCCAAAACAGATCCTTGTTTCCGATTCGTCCTTGCTTTATTATTATTATTAGAAAGAGGAGTAGGAGTTATATGGATATCGATCGATGTTACGAACGGTCGTTTAGATTTCTCTTCTCGATGCGATTAAGCGTGATTTACAAGCTTTATTTTTTTATTTGCCTCGAATACGGTATATACACTCGTGGTACGCGTAAATTGTCGAGTTGTCGTGATAATTGCGTCAAAGGGTATGTAAAAAGGTAGGCATTCCCGGGGAATTTATGATTTAAGAAAGATTGTAGAAGGATAAGTATTGGAATGAAACGTGAAACGTTTACGTTGTTTACGGGGTCAGGGAGTAGGCGAAGAAATGAAATGAATTCGACGAGTATGAAAATCGAAACTCGCGCCTTTGAATTATCGATCGCGAAAACGTGCTTGCCAAAGTGTAATGTAACGATCCGATGAGAATTATACACAAATCGTCGGGCAAAATTCCATCCAATTATCGCGCTCGATTCTATTTAGCAAATTTTATCTTCGATCATAATATCGATAACGATACATCCAGTAAATAGTGTTTACGGTCTTATCTATTGATTCGGTGGCTGAATAATGATTCATCGGAATCATGTTGAAACTTTTGATACGAAACTCAACGAGAAGAGGTTGATTCGGTCGATAATTGAGCGTAGGAAAAATTTCTTCGAATTCTGTGAGTAATCGCGCTTTGAATTCTAATATATATATATATATATATATTTTCTTGTTTCCCGTTTTTTCTCTTCAAACGTCATAAACTCGTATGATAAAAAAGATTTATACGTAGTAAAAATAATTCTGACGCGAGTGCGCTATGCTGTCGTTGAGAACTTTTCGCATAGAATTGGATCGACCAACGGCTACGTATCTTAGTGGCGAAAATGTCAGTGGAAATATTATTGTGGACATAGTAAGAGAGAAAGAAATTAGAGGTGAGTCTTTGATATTGGTGTTTTTCAATTTTAAAAAAATTACGAATTGAACGTCATATTGGGATACTGCGTTGATAGAAATTGTAAGAGTTGATTGCGAAATATTTGGACAAGTATGTAGATTCATTAAATATTTGGATAAATAATATATCGAATGTCTAATGAATGAATTTTGTGATTTTTGAACGGATGAAGTGATCAGGGGATCAAAAATCTGGTTGTTTTCCGATTATTTTTGACGAACATTGAAAATATTATTATATCGGTAAACAAAATTATTTGATATAAAAATAATGTGAATATTAAGAAAAATTACATTGATTAAAATTGATTTATATTTAAAAAATATTTGACTATTGCTACTTTGCAAATGTAAGTGCTTAATATTTGTGCGAAACAGATGACAAAATATTGACAATTTCATGAAAATTTAATAAAGAGTGTTAATAAGATTAGATTAAGATCATATGAGATATTATTAAAAACATATCGAGAGTCGCAAACATTTCTTATTTTTATTTCTTCTCTTCTCGATTTTTGATTGCCATCTTTATCGAACGGAATGAATAGCAAGGTGAATGCACATATTCGAAAACTATAGTTTCATATTTTTCACAAGATTCTCAAATTTTTGAGAATATTTTTTTCTTTTTTTTTTTTTTTTTTTCTTATTAATATATATAATTAACTTAAAATATGCAATTCGTTTAAATTTGGTTCAACATCGCACACTTTATGCAGTATAGAATTATATATGTTATATTTCATGTAATCTTAAAAAGTAGAACAAAAGTTATGAAAATATGAAAATGAAAATGAAATACTAGTCAGTGAAATTTTGTTTGAAATTTTTTCCAAAGCAAATATAATCAAAGAGAGCAAATAGTGAAACGAGAATAGAGATAAGATAAAATTGCAATCAACGCCATCTTCGGAGTGTCGCAAATGAAACGCTTAAAGGATCAGATTTAACTATTAACGCCATCTCTTGAGTATTTTGAAAAAAGTATTTCATGTTATTTATATTATCGCTCGAGAGATGGCGCTGACAATCAATTCTTATCCTATCTCTATCCTGCTCTTATTATTTTCTGTCCTTTCTATATGTGTTTCATTTGCGGCACTCTGGAGATGGCGCTGAATACAATAATTTTATCCAATCTCTGTCCTTTTCCTTCTTATTTACTCTCCTTGTCTATCCTTTTTTGGCGCGAGGCAAGAAATTGAACGCACTTTCATCATTTTTCTTTCAAAACAAGAATATATCTAATCTTTAATGTAAAAAATATATTTACTATGTATATTTACTTGTATATTTTCATATTATGAAATTATACAATTTCATAAATTTTATCAGTAGCACAAATATTTCAATGTAATTGAAAATGCGCACAATTTCAATCTGATATCGCATATTAATTATTTATATTAAGTATTAATTTTTAATTATAGGACTATTTTTTACTGCAATCGGCCAGGCCAATGTAAGCTGGACCGAATATGATCGTACAAGAAAAAAAAAACATCATAACCATCATAACCATCATAATATTATCTATAGCAATTCAGAAAAATATTTCGATTTCAGATACAATATAATTGCTAAGCACAAATGTGAGTAAAATCGCCAGAAAATAAAAAGCTTAGATGTTTTTAAACAAACAAATCATCGATAAAATTAATAGATAACTATGAATCTATGAATCTCTAAATATATTATTACATTAATTATATTAATCAATTACATATTTTGTGACTTCTCAGCCAATTCACGGATCAAAATTCCCTTTGGATATCACAAGTATCCATTTAACTTTCAACTACCTTATAATATACCAAGCAGTTTCGAGCATAAATACGGACATGTAAGATATACTATAAAAGCCGTAATGGATAGACCATGGAAATTCGACCACCAAACCAAAATAGCATTCACAGTTATTTCAACTTTGGACTTGAACGCACATCGTGAAAAATGCGTAAGATATTAATATTGTCTCTTACGTAGCATATACATATATACATTACGAATTCAGACGGATTATTCTGTTTTTTGAATAGTTAGGATTGGATGATGAAATAATGAAAAATTTCTTTTCCTGCTGTTGCAATCAAGGCTCGATTAATTTACAAGTTAGAATACCGTCCACTGGATACGTTCCAGGCCAGTCAATAACCACAATGATGAATTACGTAAATTCTACAAATAATGTACAAATAACGAAAATCAGTACAAAATTGTTACAAGTGAGCGATGATCACGATCGAATGATACCATAATTTCACTGAAAAATTATTTATATCTTTTCTTCTTTAAGAATCTTAAATTTTACGCATCTACGCCGCACACAAGATTGAATTCTAGCACTGTTGAAATCGTAACTAAGGACACTTCAGAATCGTTTCTGGATCGTGGACAAACCATATCAGGGATTATAATTCCACCTATACCACCGTCCTATCTGGAATATTGTAGCATAATAGATTTGAATTACGAATTAGTCGTTACTGTACACGTTTCAGGACTGTAAGTATTACATAATACAGCATTAGTATCATATCTAATAACAAATATAATCAACGATTTTATTTATGTTTAAAATTAGGCATTTTAAAATGAAGAAAAATTACCCTCTTTTAATCGGAACAATACCACTCTATTATCCGCCTTCTGCACCATCTCTGGATGATATAAGTGCATCCACGAGGACATCATTTCCAATGCCAACATCAAGTCAATTTGATAGGTCGTGTCTTCCACCGGAAGCTCCAACTATTGCTTTCGTTCCTCCAGAACGACCCTTTACTTCTTCAAATAATCTGGATATACGTAAACAATTAATATTAATAAAACTTATATATAGATATAAATGAAAATGAAGAAAATTGTTAGAATCTATTACCTTTTCCTCTGTTTAGCACCACCATCTTACGAAGAATGCATGTCTGGAACTCAAGATATCATGGATCAAAATGATTCGAAATATGTGTTTGGTGCGAATACCCCTTGGGCACCTAGATATCCGGTATTCAATTATCCACAAACAAGTAAAGTTAAAATTTTCTTACACAATTTTTAATATCATTGATCATAAAATAAGATTTTCACTTGTATCTTTCTTCTTCAGATATTATACATTAATGAACGAAAGATCATAACGAATATAATATGTGCCAAAGTTTTAAACTCGGAACAAAACAAGAATCAACAAATGTGAATCTACTCCAACATAACACGTAGTATGTTATTAGCACGTTATTATATCTCAATAAAAATTATCGAGATATTTATATATATATAATCACCAGTTAAAATCACAAGGCACGAGGGAAAAGCAACAGTTTTACGAAAATGATATATTTACACAATTTATTTTTATATCTCAACATCGCCATATTGTAATCATAATCATCATCGAGTCATATTATAATTAGCAAAAAAAAACCGATTATTATTTTTAAAAAGATGAACAAGGAGAATAATGAATTTCGCGACAAAAAGCAGTAGTACAAAAGGAATGAGAGATTCGTCGGTAAACTCCGATAAAACAATAGATCGAAAATCGGTCGTTCTCAAAAAGATCTGAATAAAGAGGATAGTAAAAAACTTACAAAGTTAGCTCCTGAGCGCGTCTGCTTGTGTAACATAATTGGTTAAGAATATGGAGGAAAGTTAATCAACAAGATGCGAACATGTTTCAGATCATCACTCATATAACATCTTCTACTCTATAATGTATACAATTCAACTTGACGCTTTAGGAAATACACATGGTACAATTCGCACTGTAATCACCAAATGCCCGATAAACGTGTCATTGTAGGAACTGAACCCAACCATCTTAATGTTAAAGGCTGTCTTAAATACAATGAACAGACACTGTTGTCATGCCTTTCTTTTTTTTTTCTTTTCTTTTCTTTTTTTTCTTTTCTATTCATAGTATGACTTGCTATCGGATGACTGTGAAGAATTTTCTTTCAACTTTATTTTATGCTATTAAAAATAACAAGTAAAAAGATTAATATTCATCGAGCATAATTAAAAAAAAAAAAAAAAAAAAAAAAAATAGCACCTTAACGACTGAACAAAATCAATTCCAATAGTATCGTTATGGTATGATGTTCGTTATGGCTGGTCCCATTTCGCACATTTATCATTCATAATTACAACAATCGTTCTTAATAAATTCATCATAATATGATCGAGACAAAAATTCCACTCGAACGTCATTTGTTGTTTTTAAATAATCATACAATTATAACAACGTTCACAAGAACATCCGACGCAAGTAAAAAAAAAAAAAAAAACCAAACAAACAGATAAAATTGTGCTACGACAATTCATTTTTGTTTCCAATATGCTTCAAGTATATTATAGGATACGAGTGTGTACTCCTAAATTGGCATTCGGTGTCGTAGAAGTACTCGTGATTACTAGATATGAATTTAAAAATCGCACGAAACGTAAATATATCTATTCTTTTTTTTTTTGTTTTTTCTTTTTTTGTTTTTCCAATAATTACATTATGTTGGAAATAATTTTTAAAAAAGGAAAAATAAAAGAAGTCAAGAATTAAATCGAATATATTAAGAAATAAGAAAATAATAATAATAATAATAATAATAGTTATAATTATAATAATAATAATAATAATAATAATAAAGCGAAAAATATAATTCATAAGCTTACGACAGAAATAAAATTAATAGTTCAAGATAAAAATAATAAAATTTTTGGATATATTTATGATATTATATAGTAAAAGATAAAATAGTTTTTATGTTAATAACGCATGTTAATACATGCGTATGTTCTTGACTCGATAATGTTTCCTGACTTTCTTTTCTTTAAATCTCTGATTATCCTGATTCATCGGGAGGGGAAAGGAACTGTGCGCTCCGACTTTACAAAAATTTGCTTCGCTTATATTACAATAACCTTCCCTCGATTTAAGATATTCAACCCTTAATATATATTATTATCATAAATAAATTTGGTCTATCGGTAATATATTGTGAATACGCCGGTAATAAATACTGGCAGTATTTGGTTAAGTAAAAAAATCATGATCACTAGAAGAGGTAACTGGTACCGATTGAATTAAACATGAGCGAAACTATTTCTTCAATTCCAATTATAAATATTCATCGATGAGAAACGACACGATTTATCAATCTACTTATACTATATATTCGGTTGAATACATACACACGATTATTGCTTGAAATATATTAAAGATATTTATTCACATGAAAGTTTTTTTGTTTCAATTTCACGTTTCTTCAATTGAATAAACTTTTACGTGAATAACCATCTAATATTCTGAAAATAACTTGAGAAATAATTGTGTATATACACTTGAACCAAATATATTGCAAATAATAAAAGAGAGCAATAATACGACACGCATGTTACAACTTCCAGTAAACTTGATTTAACATTCTTTCATGGGATTATCGGAGTATTGCAGATCTATTCACGATATGATCTAAATTTCTTGCAAGTCAATATCAGCAAAACTATATGTTATTAATATAACATGTATAACAATGTATAATATACATTGATTTTCTAACATATTTCATACAATTTTATTTCTTGAATATATGTTATTCGAGTTATATTACAAAAAAGTATTGCACTATTCTTTATGATAAAAAAAGAACAGTAAAAAAGTTACGCTTAGCCATATATGGTATAAACTCAAGAAATTTTATTATCTCGTGAATAAATCTACTATAAAACCGCCGATAGGAAAGTATAGTGAGTCAATAGATCCATTTTAAAAACAGCAGTTGTAAAGATGTCTTTTAACATTTCCATTTGATCCACAAAATTGTCTCGTGTATTGTAAACTATGGTGACCCACTTATTAGTTTTTGCAGCACTTTGTTTTAAAAAAATAATCAATGTTGCTGTCGCCACTACATGGCGCAACAGGTTCAAGACAAACATCAACATTTCATCTCTACCATATTTGTATACATACATTCAATACAACATTAACATTAACTGAGATTAAGAAAAGGCATAATTTACATTGTCGTGGTATGTTGATCCAAGTCATGAACCAGAGGACACTGAGTTGTGCACACGTAGTGTGTTTTTTATAATGTGTGTTATGTCTTTACGCAATCACTTTACATTATTACACTTTTTTCAGTCCGCACGCTTCCCAAAATCCTGGAAGAGGAAGTGCCAGATACCAGATTGGATAAAAGCATAAAAATAATTATCGACCGATAAAATTTAACTCTTACCATAACTATAAGTGCAACTTTAACCCTCTCTCTTAATGGCACCTGGTGCTTCTGCCAATCCTTTAACTTTAAGTCGATCAGCAGTTTTAAGAAATGCAGGCAATTGATCTTGCGAAACATTAACTTCTCCTGCATACATAAATTCCAAAATAGCTTGAAGATGACTATACGCGACATCTTTTAAAATTATGATGGGATGTTTGGACGGATTTTCCTATAAAATTTTGTTACTTAATCCTTTTATCGTGCAAAAGTTATATTCCAATTGGCATAATAATATCATACCTCTAATAAAGATTTAAAATAAGGACTACAAGCAGATAACACCATCTTATGTGCTTTACAAGTTTGACCATCACAAGCTAATGTCACATCCGTGAAACTTTTTTCATCTCGTAAATGTTTAAACGACGATACCATATTAGATTGGAAATCATTCCATTTAAGAAAAAACTGCTGTTGTTCATCTGCCATTGTTGACACCCAATGTTTTAATGAGCTTTGCTTTTATTTTAGAACTGGAAAAACAAGTTTCAATAACATAACAAACTAAGATATATTAAACAGAGTAATATAATATTAAAAATAACAATAACATTAACATAAACACGAGAATAAATTGAAGGACACGTTCAATACGAAAATCTTTGATATCAAATATTTATATGATAAAAAAAAAAAATATTAATATTTAATATAATAATTAAAGAATCGTATCAAAACAAAAGAGAGAGAGAGAGAGAGAGAGAGAAGAGAGAGAGAGAGAGAGAAGGAAAGGAAGA